GGGCTATCTGAGCAGGATCAGTTTCAATATAGCTAGTATAAGCAGAAAACATAATAATAATAACAATAATGAAGTATCTGACCAACGAACCTTCCATAATACGGAATTTTGGCTTTCTGTAGCACGAAAAGTATCAGCACATACTAAACATAATTTCCAAATTTTGCGTTGATAATGGTATGCCGACTATTCAAAATAAGTAAAGTTTAATTTTTACAGAACTCACAATGGTAAATGATAAAATTACAAGTTGCCGTTTTACCACCGTTCTGTAAACCAACAAACGCTATAACATTACTTGCACCTTTCTTTAGCTTATATGGTTTGCTACCAGATTCATTAAGTCTACAAAGCTAATTCAAGGAAGCCTAACAAAATATCGACAAGAAATAAAATACATTGAAATTTGCATCAAAAATTCGGAAGTAATTTAAATCAACGTACCTTCTTTATGACTCTCTTCTACTAATTCTAGCAATGAGTGTTTAAATGTTCACATGAAGTTCCAATCAATCGAATATCAGCTTTGTAAAGAATTATTACTTTGATCAATATAGTTGATTTATTAAAATTTTCGATTATCTGCAGTCCCGTGATGATAAAATTTTAAACTTTTCCAATTTTGAATCGTATCGCGATCGATGCCGATATGGATAAATCTATAAATTACATAAAATTATTACTAATTTTTCTATTGTTATTGATTAAAATTCTTTAACATATACCATTATGTATGCTTTAAGACCCTCTTTGAGAACGATTTCACGAACCATTACAACACGTATTTTTCGTCCTACATTATTCGCAACAAGAACTTTTAGTTATGCTAAACCACTTTATCAACAAGAGGATCATCAAAAACTTTTAGAGTATCAAAGGAAAAAAAGTTTATTGAAAAAAAAATTCGCTGACGAATTTGTTGCTAAAATTACTGTAAACTTTACGTTCCATTTATCATTTTCACGTGTTTACGAGAAATGATAATTATGATATCTTGTTTCCATTAATTAAATAAATAGCGTCCGTCACCATTTTGGGAAGCAAACGCTGTTGTTGAAGATGAAATTAAAACTATGTCGCTTAATGACTTTGAAGATAAATTCTTGATAATGCTATTTTATCCATTTGATTTTACATTCGGTAAGTTAATTATTTCTATTAATGTTATATTCTGACTTATTATTTGAAAATAACAAGGCTAAAATATATATATTTATTAATTTTAGTATGCCCAACCGAATTGAACGCTTTTTCGTGAGTTTAACATTAATTCTATCATAAGTTAGACCAATTAACTGTTTAATGTTTTTTTTTTGGTTTAATTTGACATGATTAGTGATCGTATTCAAGAATTCAAAGATATTGGAGCCGAAGTAGTTGCAATTTCTTGCGATTCACAATTTTCTCACCTTGCTTGGAGGTTTGTGTTTATTTTAACACGTCTTATTTATTGACTTGTATAATAAACTTTCAAATTTCTTTTCAGCAAAATGCCACGAAATCAAGGTGGTATTGGCGGTATCAAGTATGTTATGTATAATTATATTTATAATTCGTTTTATGGCATTCTTTGTTAAAATGGGGTTAATTTTTTTAATTAAAGGATTCCTCTGAGTAAGTTGATCACGTGATCATCGCTTGATATTGATATTGGCAGTTGTTAACTTTCATGAATGGAAATATTAAGTTGCCGACTATTCGAAGAAAATAAGTGAAGATTATGGTGTCTTGTATGAAGAGAAGGGCATTCCTTTCAGGTATATCGATTCCTTCTGTTTTGATTTTGCATATCTTTTATACTTGACTACGTACGTTAAATCGTGTAATGCGTAGAGGAACTGTTATAATCGATGACAAGGTAACAAAAGTTGCAACTTTAATTGCTGGATGTATTATTCGTTTAATAACCACGTTATATTATAGGGGACTGTCCGCGTAATTCATATTAATGATACCGAAATTGGTAAGGGACAAAAATGAAGTTAAAAGGTTTACATATATTCAAATCACTTATTTAACAATTTAATCAATTTAATAGGCCGTTCAGTGGATGAGATTCTTCGCTTAGTGCAAGCTATTCAATATGCGAATGATTACGGTGAAGTTTGTCCAGGTACTTGATATTAATTGCTGCAGCTGTTGTAGTTCACTTAATAACATTGTTTATCTGTTCATAAGCAAACTGGAAAAAAGGTAGCGCGACCATCGTACCAGATCCAAAGAAATCAATGACATATTTCTCCAAATTAAAAAACGAGTAGATTTGTGAATTAAATGTGCAAACAAATATAGTGATAGAAATTATGTAAAAAAGGTAGACGTTGGCAATAAATCAACCTTTTTTTTTTTTGTCTTTTATTTCGATTTCTTTTCAAAGTAATCGTTAATTCTGCGATTATTCTGCCATTTTTTCTCAACCATCTTACATAAACGTTTGAGATCCAGATCAGTAGGTTCAAAATTTACATCCCACATATCTTGTAATATATTAGTAGCACTCTCTAAGTCATTATTATTAAAATATCCATTTAATAAGGTTTTATAAGTACTTTGATTTGGATAAACCTTTAAATGTTTCATTTCATGATAGCAATTTTTTGCTTGTAAAAAATTACCGGCTCTTATATAGCCTCCAATTAAAATATTATAAAATGCGATTGTCGGTCTGATTTCATATCTTTTAACATTTTGGTGTATTTGATTAACATTTTGTAAATTATTCAGCTTAAAAAATACATTTAACATACAACCATAAATTTGTATATTTGGTTGAATATTCGCTGATAGCATTTCTTCGTATGCTAATTTTGCAGCTGCATAGTCACCTGTGAGCATTAGACCACTAATCAAAGCTCCATAAGTGGCTACATTAGGTTTAATTCCGTAAGTAGCAAAACTACTAATGACTCTACCAACGCTTTTTATGTCTCCCTTTGCAAAATAACGTTCAATGAGGGTTGTCAATGTTACGACGTCAGGTGCAATCTTTTGCATTCTCATGTCATCTAAAATATCTGTAATTAACGTTTCGTATTTTTTGTAATATAATAAACCTCTAATAAGAATATTAAACGTCGATATACATGGTCGTACGTTCATTGCGTGCATTTGCCGATATATAGATACTGCTTCATCAACTCTATTGTTCCATAATAAACCATTAATTATTCTATTGAATACTATTTCAGTCATTGGAATGTTGTCTTGTTGCATTTGTTCAAATACTCTTAGAGCCTTTTGATAATCTTTTGCCCGAAAATACGCATCTATCATTGCACAATAAGCGATAGAATCAGGTTTTATATTTTCACGTTTCATTTGTTCCCATATAACTTCAGCATCATGGTACTTTTTTTTTCGAGCGAAGCCGTTAATCATGGTGCTATAGATTATCGAAGTTGGTTTATGACCTTTTTTCTTCATATCATCCCATACTTGAACAGAATAAGCATAGTTATCATGCGCTAAGAAACCAGACAGGAATACATTATATGTATGCTCATTTGGTTTTATTCCTCCGCAGATGAGGTTATTATAAAGTACGTAAGCTTGTTGAATTTTTCCAGCGTCAAATAATCTGGCCACGTGAACACTGAATTGTGGAGAATTTGGATTAACGCGTTCTACGAAATATTTTTGTAATATTGTACGTGCAGATTCCATTTCTTCCGGCTTTTTAAGATAACGAAATAAAATTTTCATGAATTCGCTAAGTTGAAAATTACCTAAGCGTGATTTATTTAACAATGTTTTTGCACCTTCTAAATCATTAACTTTAATATATGCAGCAAATACATATATCACTATTATTGGATGAATATTCATTCCTTGACCTATCAAATCTTGATATATTCTCAAGATTTCTTGATAATTGCAAGTTATTAAATAATTTTGGATGGAAGTTTGATCATATTTAGTCACGAGCTCAGAATGTTTTTCTGACTGTAAACCTTTTTCGTTAATAGTTTCGGAACTATAGTCGTTAGGTGAAACCATTTTATGTAAATGGCGAAAGACTAAATTTAAACTCGGTGAAAGTCGAAATACGAAACGCCGACGAAAGACGAAACCCCTGGTGAAATGTGAAACACCTGAAGAAAAATGAAAACTCTGACGAAAGGTGAAACTTCTGACGAAAGGTGAAACTTCTGGAGAAAGATGAAGCCTCTGAAACTTTAATAAAAGACTAAATCCTGAGAAAGACCGAGATACGTTGGTGAATGAAAACATTTTTCCGTATAGTGGCCGTTAACCACTAGCATTAGATAAAGAATATACTACCGGTAATCAATTTTTTTTTTACCAATGCATATGATCGATCGATTTTGATATCACGTGCCAAACCGATAAAAAATTTAGATCAATTCCAACTATAGCTGGCAAAGCTGGCAACTAGTTAGGGTGCTAACATTTATCGTGTAATTTTTTTTAGAAAGTGAGGTAGTAATTAATGTCAGTGTTTTTAACAAATATTTTTAACAATAATTGCATGGTAGATAGTAGCATGGGGAACTTTCTTACCCCAAGAACACCTCAAAAAATCAGCCAATCAGATTTCGAGATCAGGTGTAACGTGGAATCTAAAACAATCTTAAAGTAATAAAACCTCAACATTAGGGTTAGCTTTAGGGTGAGGTTGGAGCATTGAAGAAGTTCGTTTTGATTGGTTTTTATAATATCCTGGAAAAAATATAGATTATATTCTGAATAGATTATCGGCTATATTCAGATAAAGTTTATTATTATGAACTTTTAATACTCTTTAAAGATGTTTTTATAGTACATTAATTTAGTATATTAATTTAGTTTAATAATAACTGTTTAATTCAAATTTTACTAGTGTTTCAATCCATTATCCATTTATTCATTTATCTATCAGATATCCGAATCTGAATTTATTCGAATATCCGTTTTACTATTAATATCCAACTTTACTATATGCTAAGCTTCTTTTTTTTGAAACAGTCTGTATAGTATACATATTTGAAGAGTACATACTATTTGTCATTGCTTACAGTATCTCCCAAAAATAGTATCCTATCACATAAAGTACCCCCTTTTCCACCAATGAGATCACTAGATTCGTGAATAGTATCTGGTACTATTTAATTTTAAAAATGATATTCTTGAATAAGACCCTGGATACTGTAAGCAGTGACCAATGATACTAGTCACTTGTATAACTTTTGATTGTCTATTTAAGTAGTTTGTTTATTATTAAATTCTATACTAAATGGTATACCTATAACTCAGCTAGAAGATTATCTATTTAAACTCTTTGTATTTATGATATTAACTTTTTTTTATAATCAAATAAGAATAAATTTATATTTTCTTATTTTTATACACATGGTTTAAGATTTTTATTTTTAAGATAAACTTGCTAAAACTTTCTATATCTACAATCTGGTTAACCTAGTTTTTAGTAACTTATATCGAGTCTGAAAACAAGTACTTGCAAGTCAAAACTATTATTATTACCTACTTTTGTCTTTATAAAGTTTACCCAAATCCTAGTATATATTTTACAAACTATTAAAGATATTTTTCTTATTTCAAACTATCAATTCAGATGGCTTGGGAGGAACTTTTACTTGCAGATTACTGGTCTTCTAATATTTGCAATTAAGTAGATTCTTTTTTCTTAGTTTTGATGATCTGGTTAATAAAGTATTTCTTAAACATTTTGGTCCTGTTTAGTTTTTTCAGTTTACCTGGTTATATCAAACTACCAATTCAAATAATTCAGAAGAGATTTTTATCTGTAGGTTACTAGTCTCTTAGTATTTGCAATTAAATAGATTTTTTTCTTCTAGCTTTGGCAGCCTAGTTGGTAAGGTGCTTTGTTATACACTTTGGTCTTGTTTAGTTTTCTAGTTTTTTCTAATAATAATTTTTTATATAGTACTATCAAAGGTTTTATATTATCTCTTTACTTGGGTCTTACCAAGCAAGTATTTATCTCTTTGGTTTTTTAGTTTATATAGTTTATCAAAACTTATCATAGGTTTGTACTGACTAATATCAGTTTGTATATTTTTGGTTTTTTTTTTTTTTTTTTTTCGGCATGTTCTGCCACTCTTTTATTTAAGATATAAATTAAGCAAAAATTACAAGAATTCTTAACTAAAGTTACTATCT